TTGGCGAACAGAAGCAAATGTTTGCGAACGGTGCTGTTCGTGAACTGAATCGTTTGTGAACAGAAGTGTTCGTGAACCGAGGTACAGTAATACCGCGACCAGCACCGTTCGCAAACTTTTGCTTCTGTTCGCACACTCCGCATCGGGTGACGAATAGGATCCGCGGCCATTTTCCCTGCCGTGACACGTGGTCGTGGCTTCCTGTAGGGAGGGGGACTCTCCCTCCAAGCAATAACCGCCTCCCCACCCGCCTTCCTGTCCTCCACGCCAGAAGTCGCGTCGAGCAACGTTAGCATTCTCTCTCTTCGTGCTGTATTTTGTTTCATATTTTTGCGGTTAAAAAAAAACAACATATGGTTCAGAACGGATTAACCGTATTTACATTGAACCTTAAGGGAAAATTTGATTCGGGTCGCGACCAATTCGGGTCGTGACCAGAGTTGCGGAATGAATTAAGTTCGTGACCCGAGGTACCACTGTACCACTGTATTTGACACCCGAACCAGTGGAGGATGGAGGAACCTGGAATTTTACTCTTCTTTCTATTCCTTGGACCAGAAGGGGAAACTGGCAGACTTCTTGTCCATTCCATAAAGTTAAAAGGGGCCCATCCATGCACACAGCCAAGAAAACAAATCGATAGATCATTGAACTGATCGACTCAAGAGTTCTCACTCGAGGCACCAGGCTCAATTTATCCTACTTTGGACACATGATGCAAAGACCCAGCTCTCTTGGGAAGCCCATGATGCTGGGAAAGGTGGAAGGAAAGAGAAGACAACGACCAGCAGAAGGTGGATGGACTCAGTTACAGCAGCGATGAGTGCACCATTGGAAGACCTGAAGGACCAGGTTGGGGACAGATTCTCCTGGAGTGGTCACTAAGAGTGAACACGAATGACATATTAGCTATCTATCATCTATCATCCATCTATCTACCATTTATCTATCTATTATCTATTTATCATCTATCTATATCTATATATCTTTTATCTATCTATCTATCTATCTATCTATCTATCTATCTATCTATCTATCTATCTATCTATCTATCTATCATCTTCAACATCATTATCATCTATTTAAGAGTCTTTTGGAATGAGCACCCATGATAAAATTAATACAATAAATGAATAAATAACAATGTAAAAGCAATTTCCAGTATCCTGGAGACAACAACTTGGGGTTGTCTGAATATTTCTCCTAGCCTCACTCATAAATACTGCCATCCAATCACCAGTGACGAGAATAAGCTACAGTGATGTAGCTTATTATGTACGTGGTAATAATGTCACTGCGCAAATGACCCGAATGATGCCAAAGATGGCATTTGTGTCATGCTGATAAGAGAATAACCCCGGTGATGTCACTGTCTTCCTGTCCCCCAGCCTATCATGCCTCCTTCTTGAATCACAGGAAGCCCATGTCTTAGCTAATCCAATTAATTCTGCCAATTAATGCTTTTGGAGTCATTTTTAAAATCAGGCAATGTTCCCCTTGAAGGCCCTTTGGGCGCCAAATGGGAGCAGCTAAAAGACCGATGCTTTAAATGCTACACAATTTGCTTCGTTGCTGGTTCAAAGCTGCAGCTCCAGCCGCAGCGAAAGAGTTAAAAGAAACCCCCGTGTGAGGCTCAGAAAATACCAGTTTCTCATTCCCCCCTCAGAGAGGAGGGGGAGAGACTTGATCTGGAAAATGTCATCAATAAAAACTACATTTCAGGGGTATAAGATGCAGTTGCTTCCGTGGGTAAGGTTATACATGGCAGCCAGATTAAAAAAGGGCCATTAAAAAACTGATCCCAGCCTAATGGAGGAGCCTCATCTATTCAACAAAGAAAGGGCTTCTGTTTTCCTCTAACCTTCGCACCCGCTCTTCATCAAGCTGGGGAGCTCAGCTGAAGAGAAACAGTGAAAGAGAGGACAGGGGTCTTTTCACTGATGCTTTTTCCCAACTAGAATTTGGATTCTCCAGACTCCAATTATCCTACTTTGGACACTTGATGTGAAGACCAAAGTAACTCTGGAGAAAGTTCTAATACTGGGAAAGCTGGAAGGAGAGAAGAGGACAATCAGCACCAAGGTGGAGGGACTCAGCTATGGTGATGATGGGTGCATCATTGGAAGACCTGAAGGACCAGATTGAGGACAGATCATCCTGGAGAAGTTCTGCCTATGTGATTACAGAGTTGATACCAACATGATGGCACATGATCAATCAGGAGAGATACATGGAGAAATGCATTGGGCATCAACTCATTTCCAGTCCCAATGAACTGTCTTAGTGTTGCCCCATTTTTGCCTTCATCCATAATGTGTTTCACCAGGAGAAACATGCTCATTCAAGTATCTCTTTCTTTTTTTCTCAGAATGTACTTTGCTACCTGTGTTTACAAATGCCTATTTCTAAACCTGGTTTGGATGCACTTCCTGAGCCAAGAATGATACTGGAATTTCTGGGAAAAACCAAAGTTCTTGGGCAATTCATCCACGTGATGCTGGAGAAATTGCAAAAGAGAAGGCTTAGGTAGTGTTTGGAAGACATCAGCTTCCTTCAGTTCTCTCGCTTGACCCAGCAGAGATCAGATATCACGCGTTGAACTTGTCTGTGCAAAAATGTTCTCCAGGAAAGCCAAACTCAAGGACAGGTTAGTCCTTCCACCTAGCTCAGGAGAGATGGACATGAATGTGGGGAGGAGGTCCCCCAGTGCCCCCTTTTGCCCACGCAGAAACCTGTTTGCTCGCTCAAGTGCATCACGTCAGCATGGAAAAGCATAGAGAACCTGTGGTGAACATGAGGAATACAGTGTTCTTTGCTTGTTCAATCTACAGCATCTCCAAGTTGAGCTAGAAAACACCATCTTGAACCCCTAAAGCTGTTGCTCCCCTCTGTCGACCAAAACAGGGTTAGATTGTCCAAAGGCCCAACCTTGAGTTGAGTTAGTTTCTTACATTCAGGGGGGAATGTGAAAAAACAGAATTGCATTGTCTCTTTCCAGTTTGTTTTGGAGGATTTTTTTTTCCTGGTGGAACAAAAATGCAAGCTTATGGATAACTCCTTAATACAACGTTTTCCCTTGCAATTTGAGTGCTTTTTTAAAAATGTGTTTTAGAATAGGAACAAAGCTTGGGTTTCACTGCTGCAAATTTGGTGGACCCAAAAGTCCAGGGCAGTACACAGAACTTGAGTCTCAGGACTGAATAAAGAGTGCTGGAAATAGATATCTGCAGAGAGGTCAAAAAAGTCAGGATGGTGATCATAACCATGTGACTGAAGCCCAACCTCTGTTTAACATGCAATGCACACACAAAGAGTCACGTATGGGCAGCTATAGAATTCAAATAAATAAATAAATAAATGAGAGGTGAGGCTTTGACTGCATGTTGGTGGCCACCATCTTGACGTTTTTGACCCCCATGTGGACAACCCTGGCTGGAAACTTTATTCCCTGTCATTTCTTCCCAGTTTTACGTGATTAAATAGCCACATCTCCAGTACTACAACTTTCTTTTCCTGGCTGGAAACAAACTCCTGCAGAACAGGCCTTGGACTTAATTTATTCCCACTTTCTTTATTTCCTGCAAGAATCACTCGGGGATTTGATGGCAATACGGAAGCCTTATGGAAGCACAGAGTTCCAAGACAGGTCATCCTTGCTCAGACAGGATCCCCAAGACCACCTCTGACAGATGACCATCCAGCCTTTGGTTGAAGTCCTCCAACAAGGGCACGCTCCCCCTTTCATGTGGCGGGCTGTTCCACTGGCTGATGGGATGTATTGTCAGGAATGTCCAGTGACAGCAGTATGGACCTGGGAGCAAGATAGGCCCCAGTTCCTTGACCTGTTGCAGGTTGGGGTACAACTAAAGGAGATTCCAGAGGAATTGAGCAGAGGAGGGAGAAGAAAACAAGGAGATGGGACGATGCTTAGGCTGATTTCAGACATTGCTTTGCAGTTGGGGTGTGATGTTTAACGATTTCAAACCCATGCATTTTAATTGCTGGGATCTCACAATGTTTTTAGGTCCAATTCTGGTTCTGAGCTTTGGAAAAAAAATGTCCTTGGGCAGTTGATAACCTACCTGCCCACTCTTGCATCTTACATTTTCCTACCGCCTGCAGTCTTGACACACAGAACTTTCTCTAGATACCCTGACCATCTGAAATGTGGCGAGGGTCTACTCATGAGGAGACGGCCTTTTCAAGAGCAGGGCCGCGTCCCCTGTGTGAAGGATGAAACCCGAAGCGATTTACCACGCCTGTGTCTTGCCCTCATTTTGGCACTTCGGAGATGCTCCCCAGGCTTTGAAACACAATTTTGTCACTTATTGTTTTTCTGCTCTGTTCTGGTTTCCTTGTTTTTACTTGTATGTGTGTGTGTGTGTGTGTTTTTGATTTGAGGCACCTTCTTCAAAAAGTGGGGTTAGAATGGCCGTAATAAAATGAACCAGTTTTTTGCAAGGAACTACTTTGATCCCTTGGCTATGGGATTTCAGGGTTACGCCAATCGCAGATCACCTTCCTATCTGAAATCAAACCCAAACTGTTCAGTGGCTTTAAAGATTTGCTCTGCTCTGATGGTTTCTTTTAGCTGAACAGGCTTTCATTGGTTATCCTCTCTCTTTCTCCTCTCCTTTTCTCCTACCAGATCATTCTTAATTCCATGCACAAATACCAGCCCAGGTTGCACATCGTGAAAGCGGACGAGAACAACGCATTTGGCTCGAAGAACACCGCTTTCTGCACTCACGTGTTCCCAGAAACATCCTTTATATCTGTGACATCCTACCAGAACCACAAGGTACGTCTGTAGCTCACTTCGAAGGCCTTTCTTTGCTTTGTGGATTAGGTATGGAAGATGCAAATTAAACTTCGACAAGTTAAGTTTTTCTAGAATGTCTTTAGGGCTGAAGTTAGAAGCAGTCAATTCCTCTTCACCCCTGCAAGCTCCTGTTGTGGTTAGCTCACCAATTATGAATTATTGTCCTCCAAGATATAAAGTTTCCCCCCTCCCCAACTGCCTGGGCTATTTCCACATTTGGAGGCCAGGAATAGTCCAGAAATTAATTATAGACAGTACAGTATAAAGATGTCTTTTCCTGTTTGTCCTGATCTTATTTATGCATTGAATTTTTTATAGAATGATAGCATTGGGTTAAAGTTAGACTGCAGCAAAATTCTTTCCTTCTCGCTCAAGAGTGAGGTTTAAATAAACTCAAACTGAGCTCAACTTCTGGTGACTTCATGGAAAAATCTAGATAGTTTCTTGGCAACAACATGGACATCATTTGCTACTACAGTATCTTTTTTCCAGAATTATTCAATATTGTTGGGTTCCTTTCAGGCTGGGCTACAGTGTTGGGATTTTCTCTTGAGTTTCCCAACCAATTACTGATCTGGTCTGATCCTGTTTTAGTTTTTTTTCCCAAAAGGCAGAGAAATCAAACTACTGCTTCTCAGAAGTTTGAAAATTGACATTGCTGAATATTCCAGGATTCTGCTGTGTTGAGGAATGTTCTCTAGAAATTGTTCTGCTCTAGAGCTTTTATCGTTCTTCCTGTTTTTAATGTTGTGCATCGCCTAGAGTCTTTATGGAGTTGGGTGGCCTTCTCAATTAAACAAATACCCAAGTACATCAAAGCATAAATAAAAAAAAAATAGAGTGGCTGAAAGAAAAAAAATTTCCACCCCTGTTCCCAAGAGAAGGAATCTGCTACTAGATGGCTTCAAAGGGAGCTTGTAGAGTGTGGTCAGGAACGTCAAGATGGCAGCCATAGAGCTCTGCCTGTTTTTATGCGTGTTGCACATGTGGTATCTTGAGTCACTTGACCAAACTCTGCAGACATCCTTGATGTCATGAAAAAGGAAGGATGCATGAAACTGAAGCTGTTCTGCCTGTGTATAAAGGTGGATCAGAGGCTCTGTGTGTGTGTTTGCGTACGTGTGAGTGACACTTCAAAGCAAAATTTGGCCATTATGCTTCACTTGTGACGTTCCATGACTGGTGCCTTTAGGTCCAAACGGGGGCTCATCCGATCCCGAAAATCAGTTGTATTTTTTTTTGTCTGGAAAAATGCTAATATCTGTGGTCGTCCATCAAAAGGGAAGCCCTAAGTCAAAAAACACACCTGTGCAACCACACTTTGTTCTGCCAAAGCCCGAAGAATGTAGACATGAGAAAAAGGAAAATGTACCGTGTTCCCCTCTTTTGGCTTTGTGTTTTTCAAAACGACAATAGTGGTCAGGAAAAGCCCAAAATGTCATTCAGAATGGCAAAGCGAGCTCATCATGACTGATAAAGTCCAGCCATAAATCTACAATGAAAAGTAATTAAGTCTATGTATTTAGAGAGACATTAAAGGAATGTTGCTATAAAAGGAGACTTAAGAGTGTGTCTCGGGGTCTGAACGTGAAGGAAAGATGGGGACTTTTATAATGGGCAGGGAAGGGAAAAAAGAGTGGAATTAGAAGGGAAACCAACTGGAAAACACTTTTCAATTTTTGTCCCTGCACATGGATTTCCTCAAGGGGGTCAAAAAAGTCAGTATGGCAGCCAGAGCCATGGGATCAAAGCCTCACAGCTTTTTTACGTGTATAAAAAAGCCGCAGAGCTTGGACCACAAAGTTGTAGCTGCCATCTTGACTTTTTTGACCCAGGTAAAAGAGGGCGGGGCTTCCATCACATGGTAGGGGCCCACCTCTTGACTTTTTTGACCCTCTCCCTGCAGACACCCCTGTCCTTGTGGGAAGTGTATGGAACTGTGGTGGAAGTTGGGCATAATGGCACACGTGTGATGAATCGGAGATCTGGAGTGAGAATGACAGTGAGAAAATGTTTGCCGAATCAGGATCTAGGCACCAGCTAGAGCAGGGTTTCTCAATCTTGGCAGCTGGAAGATGGACTTCAACTCCCAGAATTCTCCAGCCAGCCCTGCTGGCTGGGGAATTCTGGGAATTGAAGTCCACACATCTTCCAGCTGCCAAGGTTAAGAAACACTGAGCTAGAGTCAAGGACAAAATTGTGTTTCAGGGACCTGAAGGATGAAAAAAGGCATGTGGCCAGAGATTAAGCCTAAAAAGTGTTTTTCCATTCCCAGCTGGAGCCTGAAACCTTTTCACAGAGAAAGATCTGTTCCCGTTTTTCTTTTTGCCCTGCCGTTGGCAACCAGTCATTATTTATTTGCCATCGTCCATCACGCAGGAGTCAGAAAGTCTTCCTGATCTTCTGCAAATCTTTCTGACCCACCAACAGATCCAGGCCTGTCTTCCTTTTACGGGGCGCGCCCAGCTTTAAAAGAGGACCGGCGGAAGCTCCTGCCCAGCCAAAGACGTGGAGAAAGGGGATTGCAAGTTTAAAGCGCCATTAAATTTATGGAAGGCACTGGCGCGGGGCAGCCCGGTGTTTTTTCTCAAGCCGCTTGCCTCCTGATTAAATCCAAAGGAACTGGCTTTAAAAACTTGACACGCACCGTCCACGATGGGCTCGTGTCAATTTGGGAAAAGCCATGCCGGATATAATGGTGGGGAGAATGAAAAGAGGCTGGGGGGATCCTGCTTTGAATGAGAAGCAGAGAACGAAAAAGGGAGAGAGAAAAAAAAGCAGAAACGCTTGATCAAGGAAGCACAGGGGGACCCCGGCCCTATAACTGGTTCACCTGGGGCAGGATTGTCAGTTGCAAAGTGAAGCTGTCCAGAAGTCAGCTGCATTTCAAGGGGCTTTATGGAAAGAGATCACCGTGAGGTCCCTCTTAAAATGTCAGTCTGAAGGAGGGGGTAATATTTCTACCCAAATGAGCTGGAGACGGACAGCCTGCTTAGCACCCAGCTTCAAAGGTCCTTTCCAGGCCCAAATGGGAAAGGTTTGTTGGCTTCCGTAACTGGAGGAACAAAGAAAAACTGAATTCCAAGTTGGTTCAGGGGCTAATTGGTGGGAAGAATGGCACAACCAGGATAAATGGGGAACGAGTGGGGCCTCCTTCTATGACCATTTTGGTATTGTGACTTTCATGAGTGATTCTGTTCTTCCTGTAAATATGAATGTTAAAAATAATATTGAGGGGCATCCATGAGTGGGGCTGGGGTCAACAAAGTCAAGAGGAGGGCTATGATCCATGTAAAAAAAGGAGTGGGGGTCAGTGGTGGAGTCATGGCTGCCATCTTGACTTTTTTGCTCCCCTGGCAGACACCCCTGATAATATGAAAAATAGAGTCCCTTAGTTGAGCTCAACATGCACATAGCGTTCTCTTGGCAATATAGTAAGCCCTTGTTTAGGGACTGCCTCATTTAGTGACTGTTTGCAGATATGACAGTGATAAAAATGTAACTTTACCATCAATCCTCTCATTTACGACCTTCACAGATCTGTAAAGTGAAGGAAAGCTGAAATAAGATCATAAGCACAGTCGTGGTTTTACTTAGCGACTGCTTTGCATAACGACCAACTTGTCAATCCCAGTTGTGATCACTAAACGAGGATGCCCTGTTGACATGACCTCACATGGTCTTTTCTCAAAATATTTGTTCAACTTCCGAGGCTAGCCTACAAACCTTCCCATACAAGAATGAATGAGGACTGACTTTGCTGAGTCGATTTTTAAGTTTGGCTGGAAATAATAATAATAACAATAACAATTATTATTATTATTATTGTTATTGTTATTATTATTTCAAAACTTCCTTATAAGATAAAAGCTTCCAAGTATAAATTTGCATATTTATTTATTTACTTATTTATTTATTTACCTATTTTTATAAATTATTTACTTATCATTATATTATAAAATATAAATTTTGCTAAATATAAATACATACATAAATAAAGCAGAGGTAGGGAACTAGATCCACTCTGGGGAAGGATCCAGCCTCCAGCTTACCCAATTATTTCTCGGGGGGGGATTTAAGGTGAGGAAGGAAAAGTTGCCCCCACCCCAACATCAACCATGCAGGATGAAAAGGAAAGCCACCCCGTCTTCTTCATGTAACCCAGTTCTCCACGCCCTGACCCTATATAAACCTGGGAAAGGTTGTATACCGCCTAGAGTCAAATTTTGTCAGACAGGCAGCCATATAAATAAGAAAGATGGAAAGAAGGGAGGGGGGAAGGAGGCAGGCAGGCAGGCAGGTGTGCCCACCCTATCTGATCTGATAGGATGGGTAGACGTCTTAGGGAGAGACGGTCCCACGGATAATCTGGCCCTGTGCCATGTCGGGCTTTAAAGATAATAACCAGCACCTTGAATGGCATCCAGAAGGAAACTGGGAGCCAGTGCAGCTCGCGCAACAGAGATGCAACATGGGTAAACATAGGGGCACCCATCACTGTGCGCATCGCCGCATTCTGGACCAGTTGTAACTTCTGGGTGGTCTTCAAGGGCAGCCCCACGTAGACCGCATTGCAATACTCCAGACAGGAAGTGACCAAGACATGAGTGACCGTGAGCAAGTGATTGATTGTTCGCTGGTCTGGAGGAGGTCTTGCTGAGAGCATCTGGAGAGCATCTTTCCGCTTCCTCTCTGGCCCCCTTTCTCATTCCTGGGATCTGCTAGTCAGGCTTGCGAGTAGAGGGGAGGGGCGGGGGGGAGGTGGAGGGCAAAAGAATGGCCATGCTGACAGGAAGTGGTGGCTGCCAGCTGGGGGACTAGGCAAAATGGCTTAGGAACTACCACACCTTCACCAAAGTAATAAAAACACCCAATATTTATCCCCTTATCTGATTCATATAGCCGCCTAGTCAAGAAATTCTGGGCAACGCACAGATAGTAATGAAGAATTGCATTAAAACAAAATCTGGCCACGGGAAGGCCCTTGGTGGGAATCCTGTCATGCGCTCGGTCCCAGAAGCAATGGGCAGATTCTGGCTCCCTTTCTTGTTGCAAATCAGCCCTGGGCTCAGGACAGACTAACGCTCTCCCGGTTTGGCAAACAGATGTAGCTTTCTTTCCTGAGAGAGCCAAACCCGTGCCCAGTTCTGCAGTCCCCAAGCTATCATGCTCAATGTTGAGCTGTGCCTACTTGGACTTTGATTATTTTCTTGGAGGGGGATTATTTTCTTTCTCTTTCCAAAAAGGAACATCGAGCTAGGAAAGCATGTTATTTGAATATCGTAGGGGGCTGTGAATAGCATAGCCCCATCATGGCGAACTGGGGGATCTGGTGAAAGTATTTGGGCCAGTTTGATTTGTCAGCCAGCCAAAAAGTTTTTTGACCATTTGGAAATTTGGAGCTGTATGGAGGGGCTGCAATGTTGGGTCAAAGGGATGTTTGAGGATTGAACCCAGTGCAGAAACGATGGTCTCCTTTACATTAGTTCCTTGATGTCAGGCTGGATCGCGAGACCACAGAAGCTGGCGATGGGGAAAGAGAGGAATAAAGGAGGGTTGACTAGAGCCGTGTTTCTCAATTTCAGCAACTTTAAGATGGGTGGACTTCAACTTTCAGTCAGTTCTGGGAGTTGAAGTCCACACATCTTAAGGCAGGCCAACTGGGGAATCTGGGAGTTGAAGTCCACACTAGCATGCTGGCTGGAGGATTCTGGAGATGGGAAATCCACCCGTCTTAAAGTTGCTGAGGTTGAGAAACACTGGGCTAGAGAACAGAAAACGCAGGGAAGTGGTGACCCTAGAGCAGAAGAAGACCAGGACAGGAAGTGAGCAGAAAATTAAAGAGAGTTTCCAGTTGAGAGATCTTGACTTCCGATGGATTGGAACACTGGTACTTCTTGGAATCTAGAAATTTAAAGTTCAGTTTAAAGGGTTGGTTTTAACACCTGGGTATCTTAGGGTGGCTCACCCCAACCAGAATTGTCCCAGTCTATTAGGTCATCTAGGAAAAAAACTGTTCTTAGTTCCTCACTTCCTAGAAACGAGGATTGCTCAAGTTAGGAAGTGCTGCTTTTCGATAGCAGCATCGGTTTTTTGAAACGGTGTCACGGGAGAGGTCAGACTAAGCTCTTCTGGATGGTATTCAAGCATCTGCAGAAAACTGAGTTGTTTGGGAAAGACTTCTGGTTCACCTGGGCCACCTTGATCTTCAATTTTATCTTTATTTTGCTTCCCCCTTTTTTGCAGTTCTGTTTTGCTTGTTTCTTTCAGTGGCTTAGTACATTGTAAGGCTCCCTGTGGGTCTGTTAAAGTTTTCTCTATCATGTCCAGTGGCGAGATGGTGTGCAAGTGGATTATGATCAATAACTAGCCCACAAGAATAAGAGCAGAAGGCCTTCTGACTGCATAACGCTAAGCAAGGGGGGGAAACAAACAGGGAAGGGAGGTTGGTTGTAAATCTCTTGCAGCAAGAAGTCAGGAAGAGGGAGATGGAAAAAGAAGAGCTCTGCAGCCAGAACTTTCTGCCAGCTGCAGCCGGAAGGCGCTTCTTGCTAATAACGTCACCAAAAAAGAAGCTGGGTTAAGATAAGTTTGGCCGCATGCTGGTTTGCAGGGAGAGTGATTGGGCAAGGCTCGTAGCCTTTGGTGGTCTGCAGAAATTTGCTGCTGCTGGTCTTGCTGTTGTGGGAGATACCAGGTAGGAAAGGCCAGGAAGAGGGTGGGAAGCCCTGATCTCCAGCAAAAAGATAATTTTTCAGGCATTGCTTCAGAAACGTCTGCAGGGGAGGTCAAGAGGTGGCTGTGGAATTTCCTAGTGGCCTCCCATCCTCCTTAGCATTTGACATCAGCCAAGGTGGCTCATTGCCGCCACCTGTTGTAGATCTAAGGAGCATAGGAGGGTATATTCCGCAGTAATATAACTGCAACAGAAGTGAGGGCCTAGTTGAGGAATAATGAGCAAGGAATCCCCTTGGAGAAGGCTGGGCTGCTGATGGAACTCCGAGCGTGTCACAGAAGAAGACCATGATGAGTTCAGTTTCATCATCTTGGCAGGTAGGAGAGGGGAGAATGAAAGGTGATAGGAAGGGCAGATTCTGGGTGGCTATTAGGAAAAACGTCCAAAGGGAAAAAGCATTTTGATAGTGGGACCCCTGACCCAGAGAAGTGGGGGGCTCCCCCTTGGTTGGGCGTGCTGAAGTGGAGCGGCACCACTGTGTGGTAGGGAGGCTTTGATTTGCATTCCCACATCCAGGAGGGAGGTTGGACTAAATAACCTCAGGGGACCCCTCCATCTCTAGAATTCTGGGGTTCCAAGCAGCCATCTGCCTCCGTTCACCAGCGGAAGGAAAGATTCAGGTGGAATCCTGGCCTGAACCGCAATCCCCAATGGGATTTATTGTCCCCAGGCTATTAGCAGAGAGGGAAAATCTGAGCAATGAAGGGGTGAAGAGAAGTCTAAGGGGAAGACAGGAGAGCCGTCTTCCGATGCGTGAAGGAACATCCCAAGGAAGAGGAGATGGATTTATTCTCCGTGGTGCCTGAGAGTAGGACAAGAACTGGGTATG